CTTAAAAAAACATCAGTGTAGGGTATACCGAGCAAATGTATACCGGTCAAATGTAAATGTATGGCCCGATACTTCAAACACTGATGTTTCTTCTGATCTATCGTCAGTAAGTATTAAAATATCGAATAAATGTAATTATATCCACGAATAAATTTATATCAAATCGAATGTAATAAATATTTCGGACTTTCACCAAAGCGACTATATGATTGTCAACATTCACCGGTGAAAGTCAACAACCACTGATTTCGATCATTCACCGTAACATATATATAAATACAATTGAAAAATATTATTGAGTTTAGAGAGTTTTCAAATTCGTAAATTTAATGTTTATTTGCATTTAAAAATTTTTTCTGTAAGGCGAGGAAAATATTGCTATTAAATCCGCCACGTCTAGTTAAAAATGGAACTATTAAATAAAAAAAAATTTCGAATATATATTTATATTTATTTGCAAGGAAATACACAACCTGCAGAAACACATGCAGATATCATAAAATACTAATTTTTTCTCCTTTTGTAGAAGTATCTTGAATGCTATAAGTGTAGAGTTGAGATAAAGTTTTTGAAATTGCATTGTGATATTCTAAAACATGATTCGATTAAAATGTTGCCGGCTTGCCTTCATATATTACCTAACATTATTGTAATGATTTCTCTTCTGTAAATAACAAATTATTTGCAGAGGAGAAATAAAAACAGATACAAGACTCCAAATTTCTCACTTTTGTATCAAGATTTTTAAAACCCTTCAAGAGTTTTAAGAAAGGAGACTAGATTTTGGGAAATATTCTGAAACGAATTCGAAATAAAACGGTTTCAATTTGCCTTCATGGACTAACTAACATGTAATAAATCTGCAAATAACATATTTACAGAGAATAAATTCACATCGTTCACAAATGTATATGGGTATTGTAAGAAGAACATTTCCCCTCTTTAAAAAGGAGTCTTTAAGGACGCTTCAAGTGTAGAATTAAGACTAGATTTTAGGAAATACTATGATATTCAGAAATATAATTCGATATAAAATGGTGTCAATTTGCAATTACAAGCCAAGTAATATTTCTGTAATTAATCTGCAAATAACATATTTGCCGAGAATATAATCACAACCATCACAAATGTATAGAGATATTATAAGATCAACAATACCCCTCTATGTTAAGAAGACCTTAAGACGTTTCTGCAGAATTGAGACTTGATTTTAGGAAATACTATATTCTGAAACACAATTCGAAATAAAACTTTAGTGATTTGAGTTCACATATAAAGTAGTATTATTATAATAAATCTGGGAATAACATATTATTAACAGAGGAGAATCATGCAACCTTTTCACTAATAAACACAGATATAATACTACATCGTTTCCTTCCTTTTTTGCATAATAGAACCCTACAACACAAGGACTATTTGAACTCTACAAGTGTGGAAAGGAGACCAGATTGTAGGAAATACGAAATTCTGAAACATAATTTGAATTGAAATAGTAGCGATTTGCGTTCCCAGACCAAACAACAGTACTGATCTGCTGCGAATAACATATTATATGCAGAGAAGAAATTTACAACCCATTCCAAATAAATATTATTATTGGAAGGTCTGCATTCCCTCTTTGTCTCTGGGACGTTACACGTGTAACTAAAGTTTAGGAAATACTCTAAAAATATATATTTTGAAGCATAATTCTCCAGTTAAAATAGTGGTTTGCCTTCATATATCAAATAACATCATCGGATCAAAAATAAAAACAGCACTACAGATGACACAACTGTTTACGAACGACCTTCTAACTGATAAAAGGCCGATGAAAGAGAGGATGGGTAGGAGAAGGGAAGAGACCTCGGAGAAAGTCGAACGTTATTCAAAGCGTGTTTATGAGAACAGCATGTTATGATGTAATACAGTTTTCGATAATTTATATTCTATTTTCTTATGTTCGATTGACAATCTCGTAAACGCAGTGTTTTCAGAAATAATATAGCTATTATGGCGGGGCGTTTAAGGACGTATCAAGTGAGCATATTTGCTACCCTTTTTATAGGGTATGCTTGTTATGCATACAATAGGAAAAGTGTTTCTTTGGCTTTGCCAAAATTAATGGAAGAAGGTTTGGATAAGAATCAGGCAGGTAAGCTGTTATTTTACTTTTAAGACATTTCTTAGTTTTGAATGGTTGAAGTTAAGCGGTGGTTGAGAAATCTCAAGGTCATTGTTTTAGTTCCAGACGTCAGCAAAAGATAAAATGGGCAGAAAGAGGATTAACTAGAGTCTAATGCTTAGAAGTATTAAAGAAATGACGTAAAAGTATTTCATGTCGTATTAAAGGTCATCGTCTGAATTTTTTTCTTCCGGCCAACAGCTGTTATAATGTTATAAACAAGAAAATAATGCGCATTAAATTTACTAACTGGTGTTTGAAGGTTATCGGGATAAATGCTTAGCAAATCGACGAACATAAATAGTTTTAAAATTCAGTGGGATTTAATGACAAATTTATTCTTCCTGTGCAATTTTGTAAGAAATTAAAGTTTTCGTTTGCTAATTAGAATTAAATATATTTTATGGTAGTACATTAATTAAAAATTAGCCCAACTCATAATAATATTTTTGGCCCTTCAAATTAAATTATATGAATTTTTTTTAAATAAGAAATCAATATTATTATTATTTTAAAAATAATGATACGCCACTGTAAATGTTGTTAGTGCTAATATCCAAGCTGATTGCAAAGATCTACTTAAAATGGGTAAATTAAATTGCAGACGCAAGTTGGATTCGTAAAGCTATTTTAAACGGTGAGCTTGGTATCAAAGAATAAATCAGGGCTATTATGACTTTAACGTCAACCTAATTATGCTAATCATGTATTAGGCAAGGCTATTATTACTTATAAGGCTAGTAAAATTCTAAATAGGCTTGCAAAAATAGTTATATTCAACTTTCTGATTAGCTACGAAAGTTTACTGATTCATTTTTAATCTATTCAAAATATAAGATTAGAGTCACTAAATATTCAAAATTGAAGTAATTTTTTATATTTGAGTTCCAAAGTACTAAAGTAAATTTTTAAATCTTAACTGTTATCGTAAACTATTATAATTGCGTGTCTTTTTCTGCGTTAAAGGTAAAATATTCCAAACACGACTCACTTTCAAACAATAACTTTTCAAATTTGCAGTTATTTAGATCTAAGAGAAACAATTATTCATCATTGAACTTTTTTTCTTATAAAATCAAGTATCGATAATTCTTTGAATATGAATGAAAAAAAAAAAACTACTTTTTATATTTTATAGTTTAGTACAAATAGGTAAAGATACCGGGGGACCAATTCCTCGATTAGATGTAAAAAGAAACGAAAGAGTGTAATCAAGGGGGGTGGACAGACCTAATTTATGTTAAAAGAAACATCAATGGACTGATATTCTTAAAAATTTAAATCCCTTTTTCACATTATTATTATTTTGCGTAAATGTATAAGCAAATAATTCTATGGTAAAAAATTTATTATTTCCAACAAAATATTTTATTTTTTTCTAAATGGAAACTACTTATTTTATAATGTTAAAAAAATATTTGTTTAAATTTTAATGTCCTTAAATCTCTTTGTTAAATACGTTTGAAAAATAAATATTTTACTTTTCATAAAATATTTTGCTTTAGCCAAATATTTACCGTTTAAAAATTTGAATTTCATGATCAAAATAATATTAGTACGTATATATATAAAGTTAATAATATTGTCATTAGTTATTGATTAAATCACCTCCACCCTTTTTTTGTTGTTGAATTTCTTGCATCGTTGTCTGCTTAATCCTCCTGCTTGTTACTAGTTTTTAAATATAAACTATTTTTAAAACAATAAATAAGTGGTTTTCTAAGGGTGAGTTAAGCAATGCAACAGCACTGAAAAACATAAATAATTATAAATTCTTTAAACCTAACATAAATCTTAAGCGTGCATGCATTTTCATAAAATGTAAAACAAATAAGTAATACACAATGCATATATTTTATTTATCGAGTTCATTTCTGTTGAAAAAAACTGTAGGAGAGAACACAAGAACTAATGTTAGAAATACAAAGAATCATCCAAATTAGTTGTTATTTTGTTTATTTTATGAGAGATGATGTTTACTTAAATTAATGAACAATACTATTGATGTTTACATAATAACGATCTATGTTCGAATGATTTGTACTAGTTTCTGAAAGCTGGTAAATAAGATATTTGGATACATTCGCGAGAACTTGATATCAATACAGCACAAAGATGACACTGAGAGTGAAGAATGTTTTATTAGGATAACGGGACCGATCTCGGATATCCGCAGGATATTATTAAGGTGGATATTTATTCTTCCCAGAAGCTCAGGATGACAAGTGGGCCATTTCCGAGCAGATAATGGAAGCCATACATTTAGTGTGTTTTTGATATTCCTTTGGAGGATGTGTGTTGCAAATAAATATGTGATATGTACTTTTCTGGACTACAGAAATGTTTTCATAGAATATTTCAGCAGTATTAGAAAGTTGATAGACTTAAAATATTTGATGCTAAAATCTTTTTATCTATTTGATTTAATCTCTTTTGTTTTACTGTTTATAAAATTAGGCTTAGAATATCATTCTCTTTCCTTTTTTCCTTTTAATATTTTGATTAAGACATATTTTTAAGCACACTTACGTCCTACTCTTTATATTGTGGTAAATTGAAATGAATATTTATATTAAATTTAATTATATTTATATTGTATTTAATTATGGATAAATATTATTACAAATAAATTGCTCTTAAAAATATTTTTACTTTTTTAAAATATAATATTTATTTTTGAAAAAACTACGTTTTTCAAGTAGATTAAAAGGAAGAAAATGATTTTTTTTTTGTCAGTCTGAAAATGAAAAATATCGAAAGCATCACTTTCGTACTGAAACTACCCCCTTACGCCTTTCAAAAGAGATACGGTCTACGTTTTAGGTCTTTGCCTTAGTCCAGTGGTCGGCAAAGTGCGGCTCCAGAGCCGCATGTGGCTCTTTGGCTTCTTAAGTGCGGCTCTGGCACAAATATCCACGGAAGGGGCAATAATATTTTCATTTAAAAGAAAGAAACTTGGTAAGAAAAAAATTACATCTTATTTTGAGAAATTGAAATTCTTCCTGGTAGACGTTACGTCTCATCTAAATCAGCTTAATCGTAAACTACAAGGGAAAGGAAACTTAATTTTTTCGATGTTAGAAGAAGTAATAACATTCAAAAACAAATTATCCATTTTTTGCCCAGGATTTTGAAAGAAGGGAAACATTGTTTCACTTTCCGAGCCTGATGAAGCATCGCCAAGAAAATAATCCCTCTATTGATAAACACCATTTTAAAACACTTTTAAATATGAGGGAAGCATTTCTCAGTAGGTTTTTGGAATTTAAAAACAGCAGAGCAACTTTAGCATCTGTCAAAAATCCTCTTAATGCTACGATAACCGAGTTGAAATTTTCTCCTTTTGAAATTGACATTGGTAGCTTTGAAATACAATTGCTGCATTTAAAAAACAAGGAGATATGGTGCTCTAAATTCGAACGTCTTTTTGTTGAATTGGAAATATTGGAGAAGAAAAAATTTGATCTTAGTTCACAACACAAGTTGTCTAATTTGTATGACCTGGAGAAGGAAGACATGATCATTTTCAACGCTTGGAATAGTATTCCTGACTCTTACGATCAGCTGAAAAAGCTCGCGTTTGCTGTTCTTTCCCTTTTCGGTTCTACATATATATGCGAACAATCTTTTTCAAGCATGAACATTATCAAGAGTAAAATGAGAAGTCGTCTTATTGATGAGAACTTGGAATCATGCCTAAAATTAAAAACAACAACATTCAAACCTGACTTACTCAAACTTTCCAGGGAGATGCAAGCACATTGTTCGCATTAATAAATATTTATCAAGTATGAAATTTACTTTTATTTAGTGTACTACTTATTTTGTGTAATAAACGTTTATTAAACAAGCAGATTTGGCTCCCAATTTTTTTAAAAATTGTTGTAATGTTCATATTTGGCTCTTTGGCTAATAAGTTAGCCGTCCACTGCCTTAGTCGAAAAGAAAACATGATTATTGTAATATTTATTTTACATATTTTTAATTTTATTCATTTTTGTTTTCTGTGTATTATTTTGTGCTTGATAGTGTTAGAGCGAGTTTACCCAACACTTTAAAGAAAATACGCTCAAACCCATTAAAATAATGCAGACAACGACAGGGTTTCACCTTGGAATTTGTTATAGGGAAGAACGATTAATTTGGGTGAGAGAATGCAGTTAATGCTCATTTGGAGGTTAAATTCGGGGCAATCTATCAATCTCCTGCAAAAAAGGCCGAAATTGTGATTGGTGGTAAGGAATTAATTTTGATTTTATTGCTTTATGGACGATAAACTTTTTACCAGACACATTGAAGCAGTTGAAATTTAGTTCTCTATCTTTCGAAGATGAATTCTATTTGGCGTGTGAAACTTGTATTGTCTTATGGCACAGAGCTGTAGGTTAAAATTCATTCTTGCTTTCTTGTCGAAATTTTTATAACAAGATTCTATCTTTGCAATGCAAAAGAGAACTCGTAAGAACGTAGTAAAAAGTAGAATCGAAAATTTCAGAAAATGTAAGAGAAATGATTGTTGGAAAACAAAAAGGATTTGCTACTTCGACGCAAATAAAGCAGTTCGAAATTGAACATCAAGCTTGTGTTATTATTTTTTAAATAAGAAAATGGAGATCATCGCATATATAGAATACCATGCCTTTTAGAGTACTTTCTATTTATGCTAATGATTATTTCTAAGTCAATTTTAATTTAATTTATTACCAGTTTGGAGCAGCTGATACTACTGTTCTGATTCGTAATTTTCAAACTTTATAATTTTGAAATTTAATATCTAACCCAACAGTGAAGCAAGCCTCAAACTAAATTATAACTTACTTGTCAAACTTACGAGCCAAACTAAAATGCGTTAAAATAAAAATCCCTCTTTTTTTAAAAAAAAACTTTTTTATAATACATCTAAAGAAGATCTTATCTATAGAAATTTTAAATGAAATCAAAATTGTTTGTTTGATCCCTCAACGCCTAGT